CTAAGGGGCAGGGGTCTTTCATTCCCCCATTTCTCTTGTAACTGAATGGAATCTTTCATTCAGAGGTCTCTGGATATTCAGGATCTATTTGTTTTAGCTGGTGGTATTGTTGAGTTAAGACTAAGGCCTGTACAACAGATAGTCGTTCTCTGATGAATTGAGTCATCTTGTTCAGAATGCAGGGACCAAATATAAGGTCAGAGGTCCCATGAGAGTGGATATAAGGGAAAAAAGCCAGGGGGACTTAGCGAACCATCCTTCGAACCATCCCTGTTGAGACTCAAATAGCTGTTGCCTCTGGTTATGTCTTTCTCTAATTTTGGCCATGCTGTCTCTAACTATTCCTGTGTGGTCTGCATAAAAGCAGCATTCTTCCTTGAGGGCAGCACACAGTCCCCCTTCCTGTAGAGAGAGAGAGAGAGAGAGAGAGAGAGAGAGAGAGAGAGAGAGAGGCCGCCCTCGCGCGGCGGCGGCGGCGGGGAAGTAAAGGCCGGTGGAGGTGGGGATCATCGGGAAGTGCAGAAGAGGAGGCGCGCACCCCGCCAGCGTGATGTTAAGGATTTCTCGAGTGCACTGACTGACTCTTCTAGGACCTGGATGTCTGTGTGCATGGCTTGTTGTAGAAGCTTAAAATGATTAATATCCTGTAAGGCGACTGTACCAGTCCCTATTCCGGCTGCTATGCCCCCCACTGTTATACCTCCTAATAATAGGGCCACGGGAAAGGATATTGGCTCACTCTTATATCGGGTTGATTTCTCTAGTACGCTGTAAACATATTCAGGTTGGTGGTATGTGACTTTGGGCCAAAGTTCTATCAATATACAAAAGTCAATGGTGGTATTGAGGACAGTGGTAGAGACACAGGGAGTCAACCCAGTACTGCAAGTCCAATAAGTTCCATAAGGGGCAATAAGGTATCGGCTGTCCTGAGATAATGGCTCTACTTGGTTACATAATTCTTTGATGTGAGGGAGGAACCCTGCCTATGCATAGCCCCTTTCCCGAGACCTCAGATATTGTGAGCTTGTGCTGCATGTCAGCTCCACAACTGGTAGGTGCTGAGGTCTGCTTAGAGTAGTTGCCCAGTACTGCCACGCCTTCATAATATGGGGGCCGGGAAACGTCCGCTATTACTGGGTTTGGCCCGACTGATTGTTGGCTTAGGGGAGTAATTTGTCTGTACAGGGAGAATAAGGTAACCGGATCTTTCCCTGCTCGGTGCAGCCGGAGTCCCCAAACTTTAGGACTATGATCTGTGAACCTTAGGATGAGGGGGTTGCATTTCTCCGGGGGTGGCGCCTTTAATATTTCCCCCTTTGGTACTGTCATAACAGGGTCCACAGATTTTAAGCCCATATTTCCGTGACCCTGTCTCTATGTACCCGGGGATTTCCCTCCTTTTGAGGGTAATGAAGTCCCAAGAGGAGGAGGGTTTCCAGTAAGCATCTCCTGTGGTCTCACATCCCCAGCTTGCACAATATCCCTCCTGTGCCCCCCCTCCCCGCATTTGTCGGTTGGTTTATGACCAGGGCAGACATAAAAATCCTTTTCTCGTGTTCTCATCCTTCCCCCAGGGTGATGGCATCCGTACCCCGGGAATGGTTCCTGATCCGAGGGATCCCAATCAGACCCCACTAAGTCACATAGGTCGACATAGAGAGGAGGGAATCCATCGTGTAGAGTCCCTATATAAGTGCTGAGGTTGGCTACTTCCCCGGTCCCTAGGTTGGCTACTTTCCAGGTGATATTATAAACCCTTTGGGGGTTGGTTGCTGCATGGGGGGGTAAACAGACAAACAATCAACAGGAGGGTGTACGAGAGAGTCTTATCTTTAAAGGATTTTGAGTGCGGTGTGCGGTCCATTCTGATGCAGTGGCTGAAT